CGTATAATTGGGCTTGAGTTACACGGTAGTCGGGCTTTCGAAGACACTTAATTGGGGTATATTAAAGTAATTAATATCCACCTTACACAAGCGATGCTTATTTTTCGGGGGTAAATTAAAATAATCGGAAAAAATGTATTTATTGTTATGTACAGTGATGTACTAACAGGGGGGTTCGGGTTCAAACCCCCAAAGCCAAAAATAAAATTGTGTTTTAAGTAATATATTATAGGCATTTATTATATAATTGTTACAATGTTACTTCCTGAAGTCATTTAGAACTTGAAGTAAATAAATAATAATTTAACAATTATATTTTAATTACTAAGTGTTAAGGGGAATTGCGGCTACCTAAGTAAGAATTAAAATATCTTCGGAACTATAAGTCCAGAAATTTCGTTATTTCTTGAAATCGTACTATCGAGTTATTTTTCCTAAATAACTCTCCGATCACTGTTTTAATATACCCTACTTTATAAGTCCCTTTAGTTACCATAGAATAAGCTTTATCTTGTAAAAATGTCTAGTTTCACATATGGTTTTATAGGAAACTACATTTTTTTTAAAGAAATTGTCGTTATTCTTTATAACAAATTATTCATAGACCTTCAACAACTATAAACTCAATTTGAAAAAGCCTTCTCTGGTGCTTAAAATTAGATATAGGAGGGGGGAGGGAGGGGTTGAGGACAATTTTTTCTTGTACATAATACGTGTTATTATATTATATATCGTATAGAATAATTTCATATATATTGTTATAAAAGGATAGTCATCGTTCGACTATAAACGTCTTTTGTGGAATATACGAATATTGTGGTTTTTTAAATAATATATAATCTATAGTCCTGTAATAAAAAAAAATTACATGTAATATATTTATATTTAGCAATAAAAATGACAGTAGCGTATAATAATATGTAAGAAACCCTATCAGCTCCATGTAAAAGTCGGCCTCCGGGCGAATGGTGGCGCTATCTACGTGACAAAATTGTACTACCAAAATGCCGTAATTTCTTGACCCACTGATTTGGTTGGAGTGGCATCACCTTATCTTTTCTACATCGTGGGTGTAACGCATAATCAGCTGCTGATAACGCGGCTTTCGTTTTATCAATTATCACGAATTGATCGGAGCGGCTGTCATTTTGGAATATAGGTGGCTTCCGTTATTTAATAAATTTTTCCGTCGTTTTGTCATTTGACGACGAGATTTTATTGATTTTGCCTTTTACTGTATTGTACGGCTGAATCGATACGTCAGTTGTTTAGCGAGTTAATGTCGATTGTTGTAATACTAAAAACGTACAATTTTTTTTCCGTGCAAAATTACAAAATTACGTGGCTTACACGTTTCGATAAACGGCCTTTGCAGGCTGTTGTTGTACATACAGCTATGCGTTTTTTTCATTAAGAGCCCCTCTATTAATATTAAAAAGAGCTACTGAGTTAAAATAATCATGATGATGCTGTTCAAATATATTTATGTTCTTCTGTGTCTTTTAACTAATAATACTTTAGTTACTGCAAGGGTTTACAATGACATAACTATAAGGATTTTAAAAATTATAATATTCTGTCCGTAATATCAAATGTGTTGTTTATCATGTGACAAAATTGTTTGACATCTTTCAAACTGCACATTGTCATAAGACAAAAGATAGATAGTATTAGTTACAGACACACTGGATGGTTAGTGTTAGGCTCTTAGTTGAGTTGCCGACAGTGTTAAGGTTAGCTGTGCGGTTTCTTCTCAGATGTCGAAGAACCGTTGTAATAGTGAGTTAATTATAGATTGAATGAAGATGGGATAGGTACAAGGTGCGAACAAATCGTAAGACGCGTGTACTTTTGAAAGGTATGTACACTGTGCTAAAAATTCGCAAGACAAGTGTTCGTGATAAGGAAAAAGTCAATGATGTTGAATAAACAAACTCAACGGATAGTGACAACTGAATACTTTTTGATAAGTGGTGTACTGAAGTCGACTTGAAGAATATTGCTATTTAGTAATTTTTGCAATTAATCGTTATTTTTAAAAAAAAATATATAGGTTATTATTATTAAATGTAAGCTAACAACTGTTTTAATTGTGAAATATTGCACCTATGGCTAGGGATTATTACAATCCTTTGGAATTTTAAAAAGGTTGGTGGAAAATAAATTTGAACGAACACAAATAAATCACAACGAACATTGTTCGCGTACATGCTGGCGCACAAGTTGGCCAGTTGGCCATGAACATCTTCATTCTTTAATTATAAGTACCGTACATCTTCCATACTGCATGTAGTGGAAATCATTAAGATGTGTAACTGGCTAATTCTTAAACTGTTCTATTATTTTTTCCGTAATTAATATAGTTTAAACATTAATAGCTTTATTTATAGGACAGTTAATTGTTGACCATTAACAGTGAAAAATTAGGAAACTGATGCTATAACAGTCTAATTAAAAAAAAAAAAAAAATTACCCACCCATAAAAACATCTCATTTCTGTATCAATAAAGGTACACAAATCTTTTAATATTCATATATTGACAAAATTCGCCTATACCAAACCTCTTAATAAATAAAAAATTTGGCGTTCTTATTAGTGCAGTTTTTAAAACAATACGATTGTATTTCAGCGTTGAGACTTGGACATAATAACAAAAAGAGCAATATCCAAAGAAGACAATGAAAAAAATAATTTGTTTTCATTGACTGAATTATGCTTACGACAACTTATAGCAAGAGTCTCGTTCGATCGTGCTAAGAGTGTTTTTGTCCCGTACTGAAGTGTGTTTGTTTTGTATTCTAGTTCATTATTTCAATTAGTAAATAAGAAAGTATAAAATTATTTTGTAAAATTTCAGAAATTGAGATGCTGTTTCTGATGAAAGTTTTAAAAATATTAATTTAAGTATTGGTGATGTCCCTTCTAAGACTAATGCTATTGCCAATGAGAGTGTCGGGCCCACGGTATTAGATTTCCACTGGCAGAGGATGTGCTTGAAATCTCTGTTAATGGTACTGTAAATCTCTCTTAACTAATTACTAATAATGAATGGTGTTATCAATACACACATCCCACTTTATCATGTATGCATGTATACCGTGTACTCATAATAAAAATCATGTACTCCATCCGATTATTTTTAATAGTAGGTAGGTATATGCTGTGTTTAGAAAAGTAGAAAGTGGTTACTGATTTAGAAATCTTAAACCATAAGCAAAATGTCTTTGGTGAAGTGGGAGAGCTTCCTATAAATTAAATAAATACCTCAACAAAAAAAGTTTTCCTAATATTTACTTATACATCACTACTACTAGAAACTAGTTGAACAAGTAATAAGCCCAGAGTTTTTGAACAGGTAGCACCTTCTAAAATAATGTTAAATTTCTATCACAGCTGGCCTATAAAAGTATTTTCAGCCCAAATTTGTGTATTTAATACTATTTTTTTTTTTTTTAATCGAGCAAATAATAACTAACAATAATTGTAAATGATTACAATTATAATTAAATTGATTTTTAAGATTACACACAAAGAAATGTTAAGGTTGTTAGGATTTTACCATAAAAATATTTTGGTTAGATTTGAATCGACTAGGCATCCACAGATTCGCTTAGAAGCGTTTATTTAAAAGTGATTTTATCATTTTTATTAGTTATAATAATTCCTGTAGATAACTCCGTCCCCACTCCAGCAGTTTTTTTTTAAACCAAAGTATATATATATGTTTAAACATTGACTAAATTAAAACGTTGGCGTACTTAGTCAGAATTTTTCACGATTGTAAACTGATAACGATTTATGAAAAACTATTCATTTATTGATGATCTAGGTATAATAGACTTTTGACATTGTAGAAAGTTAAAACAAACTAAATTACCTCATTGACATATTTTGTAATTATCAGCTACAAGCTGTGTGTAAAATACATACCCTTATTAGCTAGATATGAAAAGTTATTACTTATTAAGTATTTATTAGTGAAGGTAAATACTAGGTTATCTATTGTTGATTTAAATTTATTATTTTATACAACTTAATTTAATTAAACTTTTTGTATTAATATAAGTTGCTAAGAAATTAAACAAGTTTTTTCAAAATAATTATATTTAAATCCCTTCTTATGATATTTTATATAGCATCAGTTGAAGGGATTGCAATTTCATTTGAGCGAATAAATGAGTACAGTGACTATGACTAGTTCAACTGGCAACTAGTTCTTGTGTTGGTTTGTCGAAAATTCACTGGGCTAACTGTAGTAACATCGTGTAACAACATAGTTCTGTGGTGTGCCATTATAGTAATCGAGATCAAAAAAAAAAAAAAATATGTCTTCGACTACTCGGTTTGAAATAAAATATATTATATAAAAAAAAAAAGAGTGAATGTTGATGTCACTGCACTGATTGCAGTAAACATATTTTGCCTGTTTACTCTCAAAGTTGGGCAACGATAATTCCCCAAGATTGAGTAGCTATAACTTTTGAACTGGAAAAGACTACAACACAATAAATAAGGTAAAAAATAGTGTGCCCGGTGAAGAAAAGTGCGTTCCATAAATGTTGTTTTAATTAGTACAATTTATAACGTGTGAAGGCATAAACATTTAATACATAGTGAAATTGGAGAATTTTTAATTTGTTGAACTTCATAATAACATTAATATGCCTATCGTTCAAATTTCAATCTGTGAACAGGACGCAGTGCGTCAGCGGTTATCAGCCGATAGCTCTTAACAGTGTTATCATTATTCGAGATAACAACCGCATCTACTGCGATACCGCGGGTGTACCGTGTACGAATCGTGCAATAAGATTGTAAACCATAGCCGATCATCAACAACCATTGAAATAAATATATATATATACTACTATAATGTCACTAAAATCGATAGTTTGATTTGTCATACATAATGTGATATTATATCTAAGACAACTGCTAAGCAAACTATCGATTATAGTTGGATAATTTAATCGATAGTTTGTATTCGGTTGTGCTTCTATAGTCTATGCCCATCACTGCGGACGCCATTTCCGTGTTCCAGCCGTCAGGGGCTTTGTTCGCTCGGCGTCCGCTGAAATTCGGTTGCCGTTCGCGGTTCGCCTATTCTAACGACGTACCGAATCGAATGCGCGTTGTTCTCAGTTTCGTTAAATTTTTTAATAATCGTATTGCTTTTTTTACTCAAAACATAAGTCGAAGTGTACCTGTATGTTAATTTAACTTTTGCGGCTGTATTCGAAATTCCGTCGCAAATATTACAGTTTTTACTGCGGTATGAAAAAAAAAATGCCTATATCAAATTTGTTGTGCACACGGCAAGATGGCCGCCAACGTCGAATGGTTTTCGACTGCACCTTCGTTTCGTGTGATGGGTATGTAGATTTGAATTTGATTGAATTTGTTTCACTTTTCCGGTCTCTTGGTTAAAAATTGTTTTAAAACATTTGCCGAATACTGAAATTCAATCGAGGACAATTTTATTGAATTTTTATTGCCTTTTGTGTCCACGACTACGTGCGAATATAAGGCGGGTTAGGTTATACGGCGCCCATTTTCTCAGTGGAATTAAACAAAATAATAAAATGTACTTGGATTTAAGAATAAAAGAACAGCCACGAGAACATGGCCGAAGGTCATAGATTATGCGTTCTTTATTTCCCATGGTAAATTATCGATATTTCCATTCTGATTTCAATTATTCTGTGTTCATATTCAATGTCTAATGAAATCTGAAATACTTGATCGTCGATACGATTAAAAAAAAAAAAATCCGATGTATAATAGGTAGAATGTTAATAACGGAAAAATATCTTTCATACATTTTTATCTGTATTCGTTTTCCAACATTCGATTTAACCATATGTACATCTAATATAGTATGTATGTTTTCTTAAATGGTAATAGTTGAACGTTTCAAACAAAAAAATATTATGCCATTAGCATATAAACAATAAGCAAAAACAAATAACTTGGTTGTTTAAAGGTTATTATTGAACTTAATGTACCATATTATTGGCGAGTCAAATGGACAGTTTACAGTCGCATTCACACACAACAAAACAATAGTAGTCGTTCCTTGGTTTCAGCATCATTAAATGCCACCTAAACGTTAACAATGCTGCTATAAACATAATCGTGTACAATGTTTAAAAATTTGACAAGTGACTAATTTTTGAGCTACTTGATAACTATTTAAAATAATTTGTTCTCACTGCAATCTGGTATACTTCTTAATTCGTAACTGGTACAGTGAAAAAATATGACATTACTGGTACAGTGCAGTGTGATACACCGCTACATTTAAAAAGCGATATTGCATTCCCCTCTGGATCCTGGTGTTTCAATGATTAAAATAAAATGTAATAGGGTGAATGATACCAGTGAACGACAGTATAACAGGCCTGATAAGAGAACACATTTTTAAATACCAATCCGATAAGAATTTTTACTGTTCAAGTACATTAAATTGTCGTACAACTTCTATACATCAATAAAATTCTAAAATCGGAGTTGTTTTCATTCACTCTAATAGCTAAAATAATTGATCAATTAGTTTCCTTATAGACCTAGTGTAGAACACAATTTTCTAGTGTATGACACCAAGAAAACCCAGTAAATGACACTTTTTTTAAAAATATTTTTTATCAATTAAATGCCAATAAAATAAAGAAAAATGTCACTTCTTCTATATTGCATAAATTAACTTAAACATTACATAAATTTGTAAATTCCTACTAGATGAACAACATTTTAATTATTAAATAAGTATTTTAAACAAATAGTCAGTCTCAACCTTGAGATCATTAAATTTAGTATAAATATGCTTTTTGTAATAGACTAATAATAATATACATATACATTTAATAATAATAATGATGATGATAGTAACTCATTTGGTGCAATTTTATTTTTATTTTACTGGTGAAACTAGTCAGAATAGGAACTGTCTTCTTCATCGCTATTCACACTAAAATGGCATAGAAATTCTACACATTCCTCAGATACGTTGAAATTAATACTTGACCTATGTTTTTTTGGTATACAATCTACGTGATATTGTGCCAAACAACCATCACACTCAATCCATTTTCTAGCTAAGCCTCTTATCGATTCTGAATAATACTAAGCTTCATAAACTTTACACGTCCATTCTTCTTCTAAATCGTTAACAACTTTTTTATTTTTTTTTCCAAGTTTATTTTTTTTTATTTTAGCTTTTTCTAAACGTTTTATTCTTCGTTCTTCTGCTTTCTTTTTTTCTTCGGCTTTTTTGAGGTGAAATATCTGAAATTGGTCTGATGTTACAACTGAAGGCATTCTAATTTTCCTTCTAACATTTTTTCGGAGGAGTTTTTGGCCATAACAAATGTTTTTTAAATGAAGAAGGAACATCTACTCCATTTGTTACTGGACAAATAATTTTGGCTAATTTATCTTGCCTTTTTTCAGTTGATATTAGTGTATGAAAAATCACTATTTTGACCATTTTCAAAAGAAATAATATGGGCTGCACTTTTTATGGGTGTTTCATATCGACAGTGTTTTGTAGAAAGGGCGTAACCCACATTTTCATAATTGTTTACGGGAGAGTAAAAACATTGCAGAAAATACAGTTTTAATCAAAGTGTTCTCAAAATTACATTTTTGGAAAATAGAAATATTAAGAAAATAATTTTTATATTAATAAAGTTAATATAAACATAGAGTATCATTGTAACTGTCACTTAAAAAAAGGTATAAGTGGGTTATGCCCTTATTGCGTTTCTAATTTACAAGCGCTTTTTATTTCAGTGATCGTTTGTGGCTTAAGCCCTTCTTGTAATTTTAATTTCCCAGCGCCTTTTTGATTTTAGAATTTTTTTGTGGCTTAAGCCCTTCTTGAATTTTATATTTCTAATCGCCCTTTTTATTTAAGTAGGTAGATTTTTTTAAAATTTAATTTGGTTTCATAAGTAAATTTTTGGTATTGTATAAACCTGTTATGAAGAGTAATTAGATAATTTAAATAATTGAAAACTATAATTGATTATACTCAGACTTATAAAACTTTTATTATAAGAGATCAACATCAATAAAATATAAAATGAATAGGTAAATAAAAAATCTTTCACTGGATAATAAATTTTTAGTAATGTATACATAACATTAATGGTGTGTAGGAACTCTCCTTTTGAGTTGTATATAATTACTAGATAATTAAAATATAACAATATTATTTTTAAATAAAAGTCTATAAACTATGTTGCTTCATTAAAAAAAGTTCATCATCAATAAGTAAACAAAAAAATCTATTAACAGAAATAAATATTTAAAATTGAATAAAATATAATGTTCACTTTCATTTTGAATGCTATTCTTAAATGACTCACAGAATGTACACTTGTCCTTTTTTGGAACATGAATACCAATATTGTATTCTGTGTTCCACCTCTTTTTAAAAACACCACTAGTAGCAGGTAAAACATTATTCAATTTACAATCTTCTTTATAAACCCTGTATACATTTTCTAAACTTTGGAAATCATTTGTTGTATATTTTTTATTGCTTGAACTTCTACAGTAATGTGATGGAACGGCTGGCAACTTTTCTATAAATTTATCAACATATTCCATTTGGTTATGAGGAGTTTTATTTTTTGACGGTTGTCTACCTCTATTATCAGATTTAGCTGAAAGTAAGTCAGACTTGTTATTCCGAGTGTACCTAAGCAGCTTTTCAGATATATTCAATGTGCTCAGTATAAATTGTCTACAAACTTTTACTTGCACATTGTCAATAACAATAGAGTAACTATAAGTGCATGAACGATTATTGACATGGGAGACATAATTCCTTTTGACATCTTGCATACTCATACAACTTAATAGATAATCTCTTTTTCTATTGTGATCCAATTCATTCCAATATCTATTAAAAATTACTGACCTTTCCTCCTCAGTTATGAAGGAACACTTATTTAAACATTTTTTATTTAAACAAGGATTTGGTTTCATTTCCTTTTGTGCAACTAACTCAAAAGTGTTATCTTGCTTTATTTTCTTATAACATTTCCCTTTCTCTCGGTTTAATATATTAACAACACGATCATCTTTCTTTCTCTTTTTTTTCCCAAAAACTTCCACTTCCAGACTTTGTTCATTATCATTAAATAAAACGTTTTCATTTATTGTGGTATTAGTTATAATATTAATATTGTCATAATTGACTATATTAGAATCAGTGTTATTATTATTAGTAAGAGAAACTGGCAAAACAATTTCTACTTCCACCCTTTCTTTATTGTCAGGAGTTAAAACATTATATTCATTAGATAATGTAATTTTATTAAAATCATTATCATTATTTCCTAAACTAGATTCAAAAGAAACTGGCACATCAATATAGTTCAAAGTATCAGTCAAATTATTATTAGTATTAAAATTAATATTATCATCATTATAATTTACAATATTATTGTCGTTAAGCATAACAAACTGATCAATGTTTTCAATATCTAAAATAATATCAAAAACGTCATTATTTTCATTTAAAACGACACTGTTATTGTTAGAAGCATTCACTTTTATAATATTAATTGAATCACTACTAATTGTACTTGCAATTGTTTGTGAGAGGATTCTTCTACTCCTTAAATTACTCATTTTTTTTTATTATTATGAAATAAAACTAATGACTAAATATATACAGACAGACGTTGTAATTGAGAACATTAAGGAAAAATAAACAATAAGAACGATCAACGCGGGAGTACATACCATTATCATTATTATTATTTTACCGCAAAAATTGCTAACCACAAACTTTCTCACATAGTTTATATATTATGATGAACTGACGTTTAGATCTTATTAACCTCAACACATTATTATGTTGATAAAAATAATATTACCACGTTTTTTGTGTAAAATATGCCGAACATACATTTGGTACAAAATGTATAGTGTTAAATATGTGGCATACCCCCTTTCTACGTTTTAAAAATTAAAATTGTTTTTGTGAAATGGGCGTCTGTGTGTACTATAATTGTAATAGTGAAATACTGAGTCTATGTTCATGAACGCCCTTTTTACAGATTATGCTCCTAATTTTTCTGAAAATTTTGATACCAAAAAGTCTATTTTAGATTTTTGGTGGGTTACGCCCTTTCTACAAAACACTGTCGATATACTGAAGGCTGAGGTCCTATACAATTATTTAAAGAATCTTCATAAATCATTTTTGTCCATAAATTGTACAAATCTGTTGACTCTATTTGTCCACCCCAATTTCTACCTTCTTCATATGCTTTCCTGAACTGGCTAATTTTTTCTGGCCCAATTAATGATTCTAAATACTGCTTGACCATTTGTTTATTAATAGCTGGCAAAGATTCAAGTCTTCGAGAATCATTTTCATGGGATTCGTTTAAGCTGTGTGATGAAACATACTTTGTATAATCAACTGCGTTTGAATCCCATGGGTACATTCCACACACTCTAAACCCATTTGTAATATTATCTTTTGATAAGTTATTATTTAGGGTGTCTGATATTAATGGGGCGAATTGGTTTTTGGTCAAAGTGTTACCCAAGTTCTTCATTCGCCATGTATGAACAGCATTTGCCCAAGCTTTTTTTAGTGGACCAAACACTGAAACGTCCAAAGGCTGTAGTATATGGGTAGCATTTGGGTAGAGAGCCATTAACTCGATGCCATTTTCTAAACAAAATTTACTCAGGTTATAAGTCAGATGGCTTACATGATGACCGTCAATGACCGGTAGTTTTATTTTATTTTGTATTAGCCAAGGGTGAAAAACATTTGCCATGTATTCAAAAAAAACTTCACCGATAATCCAACCGTTGTCAGACTTGGCAATTCCCCAGCCATTGGGTATACTTAAGGCGATATTTTGGTTTAACCTCTGTCCTGGATAAACGATTGTAGTTGGTGCTATTATTCCACTGGCTGACACATTAATTAATACAGTTATTGATTTTTTCTCATCATTCCCACACACTTCATACACATTTTTTTTGCCTTTCGCTAGATGAATCATCAAACTCTGAATTATTTGCGTCAAGAAACGCCAATTTTGTTTACGACAACTGCATGAATAAATAAAACACTCGGTATAATAATTCAACTTCTCCTTTAGTTGAGTTATAGTATGACATAATTTATAGTTTTTGATTTTCTTTATCAATACATTTTTGATGATGCATAGATGATACTAAAATAATTGATTTCCCAGGCTTTGTTACTATTGACACCATTGTTATGCGTTTTGTAAATCCATATTAAACTATTCCTACTGTCTTTTTTTTTTTTTTATGTAAGAATGAAGGAGATTTTTCTTGTTTATTCTTTTTCATAGTTCCCATGTAGCCTAGTTTTTTCTTCAAAAGTTTTTAATAAAACATTAACTAATTGTCTAATGTGTTAACTTTTTAACACGGATATACCCAATAATACAAATATATTTAAACAAAATGACTGAGACGACCTAGGTTGAACTAGTGTACATTTATTTTAACATAAATTACAATTATAAGTATAACAAATTACGGCCAGACACGGTACTAAGCGCGTAGACCGCTCTCTACTCTCACAGAACCACTACTGCACAGTGCACGCCACCGGTCGGCTATCGCTGCGTTAAGATAACAAATAGTAACATATGTATTCTTATCAGCTGTTACACTTCAGTTTTAGATGGGTTTTATTAAATTGAATACGGCTTGTGAAGGTTTTGAATATTTGTTTTCTTTATTACTGAGGTTATTTGATTATGATGGTAAAAACCTCCAATAAAACTGGAGTTACTGGTGCCACCCATTGTCCAGAAATAATTACATTTTTTAAACCATTCTTTGCACACAAGGTGACACCCGTCAGTTAGATAATTGTTTTAGATTCCTCTTATTCTAATGAATTGATTGATACCAAAATTATGTTAGTTGTCGCTAGAAGTATGATTTTCATTATTAAGATTGTTAGGAACGCTATAATTTACAGGCATTTGAAATAGGCTCCCGCTGCCAACTTGTTAAATAAATTGGTACCATTAACCTCATTTTACCTAATATTTCTAGACAAGAAAATTATTAAAATATTTACAAATTATCTGTTTATCTTCAAATCATAATAAAGGTTTCTAAATTACAGGACAGTCCTGAATTTACTTTTTATGTGGAGCTTGACCTGTTACTATCTGCAAAAGAAACTTTATTATAATATTTTCAAAGATACTGTTTTGATTAAAAAAACTCCTTTGTTGGTTTGGCTCTTATCATTTATTGATTATAGTATATGGATGTACGACGACCGTTTTTCACAGCTCGAATAGAATATTTTTTAGATATTCTATTTTATTTACACATATAAACAAATTTTTGCCTTTGTAATTTTGAATATAAATATTACTTTACTTTTGTACAAATACCTTAATATAACACTGGAGATACTATATATTTTGTGAAATATTGATTTTAATTATATTACCGACTTATCAAAAATTTTATGAAAATAATCACTGTCGTAGGGTCAAATGTAAATCCTTTTTTTTTATAATTTATACTAAATGGTTAGACATCCATGTAAAATTTCCAATATATGGTTATATCATTCAGGTTAATTATAACAATATTAAGTAAATGTTACATTTTTTATGGACTATAAAAATTCTTCGACAAGGTTTTAATTTAAAAAATAAGTTACACTAAAACAAGAATATTTTTATTGAATATTTTTTAAGCCAAGGTATATAGGGTCCAAAAAAATATTCAATAAAAATATTCACACTATATATATATAATATCTTGTATACGTTGAATGCGTATTTAATATGAACATAGTTAAATTTGGCCAACTTCTTGTTTTTAGGTATTGATTGGAAGTACGGATATAAGATTAAAGATTAATGTCATGGAAGTGTTTAAAGATGATCGTTCGTTTCGCAGTACAAAGGAATGCTGGCCGACAACTGATTGTGCCAACAACAAATACAACGCCGTGTATCATTTGTATTTGTGAGGTACCTAGGTATGTTAATATACCTAATTACTAGTGTTAAATGTATTGCTAATCCTAAGTTACTGTAAAATCTACTTTTAGTTAGTGTTAAATCTAGAAACAACTCCTTTTTTCCTTGAACTGTATTTAAACATATTCTTAGTCCTGTAATGCCTTTTTCTTATAGTAAATGAGTTATGGGAGTATTCGAAAAGTGAATCAGTTTACATTAGGTAAAACACTACTATGATCATGGGAATCTTTTCTCAATTGTTTTTAAATAAGATGCTGTGAGTTTAATAGTGATGTTATTATTGGCTTCTTGCATCATACTCCTTAGGATGTGTTTAATTTTTTGTATATCATGGTTTTCATTATTTTTTTAATCTTTGTGTGTCTTCTTCCATGTACATTCATGGATTTAGAACTGCTTTATAAAGTGTTCCATGTTGACCATCTTCAATCCGCGGACAGACAGTCTAGTTTTCATAGGCAAACCTCGTTAATTCTATGAAGAATATTATTTTTGGAAAATTTTCTACCCAAGGACCTACGCCTATGTCGCTTGCATCAGTTTGCAGACAGAACAGATGGGCGTTCGTAGTCGGGAGAAGATAACTTTGGGGAATGGTACAAAGCATTCTTTATTTGATTAAAGGCGTCTTGTTCTATCCTTTCCCATCGCCATTTTACCCCATGTCCTAATAGGCGGGTTAGAGGTTCAATCGTGTCGGAGTAGTTGTCGACAAATTGACTATACCAATTACATACGCCTAAGAGCCTACGTAGATCTTTAACTTTCCGTGGTGTCGGAAAGTCTCTGATCGCTGATAATTTCTCCGGTTGTTTTTGAATTCCCTCCGAACTAATTAAGTGCCCCAAAAATGAAATTTCGGGAGTTCCTAATTTGCATTTCTTAGGATGACACGTTAGTCCATGACGTTCGAGCCGTTCGAGAACTTTCGAGAGATGGTCTAAGTGGTCGGGCAAGTTATTGGAAAATATTACTATATCATCCAAGTATACCTGAACGAATTCATCTAAATATCCTCTAAGTACCTCGTTCATTAATCTCACAAATGTCATAGGGGATTTCTTTAAGCCGAACGGAAGTACTCTGAAATGAAAGAGTCCTCTTCGCGTTCTGAATGCAGTGTATCTACACGCACTTGGACTTAGGGAGACCTGCCAGTAGCCAGATTTTAAGTCCAAAACGCTAAATACTTTCGCCCCCGCATGTTTCTAATCATTTCGTTCAAATGCGGCATGGGGTAAGCGTCTGATTCGGTGACCTCGTTTAAACGCCTATAGTCTATACAGAGTCGGGGGGACCCGTCTTTTTTTTTGGCTAATACTATAGGGGCGGCCCAGGGCGATGTGCTCGGTTCGACTAGGCCTTGTTCCTCCATATCGCGTATCATACTGTCTATAGAGTTTTGTTTCTCTGCGACCGGTTGTTTTGGCTTGCCTTTCTTTTTGTCTAAGTCTCTTTTAGCGTCGTTGGCAACTTTAACATACTTGGACAATGTATTGTCCAGCTTCTTTACAAGGTCCGCAGCAACTTTATCAGGATTAGGTTTCTGTGAGAAAATCCTGGTTTTTTGTTTGTTGCTGCCTTGGGAGCCAGATTTTGGAGTAGTTTGGGTGTCAGACATTTTAAATTGTTATTAAGAAATAATTGATAAAGTAAAATGATAAGTGGAACAATAATTATGAGCTAATTTATACCTTCATAATCATTATGCGCACAACATTTAATAATCAACACATAATACAAAACCAACACCAATACGTATATAACGCTTACAAGTATTGCAAACAGACCTAAGTCAATGCGATGCTCATATGTCACTTTTTCGCAGTCTCAATGAACAGTCCATCGTTATCCTGTCCTGGTAACACTGTTGTGTATTGCACGTACTGGTTTCTTGTAATCATGTTATAACTAGTACCAACAATAATATCGGTACCATTACTGACTCCAATGTACCCATCAGGATAAAACGATGTAATATTCATTGCTTTATTATTTGTCCATGTAACATAAAATTTTTTGTGGCCAAATTTGTCACATCCAAAGTTATGTACGTTGATGACATGTTTGGAAGCTATTATGTATGAAGTATTGGTTGATATGTCAACAGCTCACCAAACAGAAAAGGACAGTGCAACTGTGACAATTACAAACATCAAATGCAAACATTTAGACATTTTAATGAATTATTTATTTATTTAGTTTTAAAAGTTGGTAAGCAATAATTAAAATATTCAGGTCGGGTGTATCACCAGAAACGATAATTTAAAAGTTTAAATTCGATTATGGCTAATATAAATACATAAGTAAAGAAATTTTAGACCTACGGTGTGTTTTATTTATTCAACATATGAACGAACACATGCAATGTGAAAACAATAGCAAGCATCCTGTTAAAATTAATTCCATACGCAACAAGCAGCACTGCTGTTATAAAACTTTCAAGCATTCTCGTCTGGACTAGTATTGACATAACGGTTGAGTCCTCGTCAAATCCCAATCTAACACAAAAATATCTCCACATCGGTGTCCAAACGTGAACCCTCAAAAAATTATACACAAACAGCACCAGTTTTTCGACGAAAGGGTACACCACATCTGTCTCCAATTCAATGAATTTATCAAATCCATTCAAATCTATTGAATCCATATTGGCGTGTTACACAAATATCAAAAGCTACTTTACTACCTTTTTTAGGTATACACTATTCATAGTATTTACATTTTCTAATATGTCTTTAGTAGTTGATTTTGTTGTTGCTCATCTGTAATTATTTCTGAAAGCCATATGGTGTTTTTTGTACTTGTAAGTTATGAAATCCTACCGTCTTGTGTTTATATAGATTGACAAAAACACGTAAATGTTTACTTACAACATGTAAACAGTTTTCCCTTACACAATTAGTTACTAAATTTCTCAGAAGACCGTTTATAAAAGAAGCGGTCTTATGCAATTGAGCCATGAAGTGTTGTTTTTTTAGTAAAGTACCAAGTTAAAATATGTCTCACATTAGATTATTCCTGCTCTACTTTTTAAGACTTTAATATTACATTGAATTATTTTGAAAAAAATATTGTCCATTAATTTTGACAACATTTTTGAGGTCTTTTTTAAGTAAAATTTCTTTAAGGTTGTTATACAAATATTGTACATTTATTTTCTGAGTTATAATACAAGGAAATAAAACAAAGGCCCATTAGTAGGAAAAGTACAGAAATTTCATAATTCAGTTAAAGTTAAGGTAGTTTTGAGTTCTAATAATACTTGTTTATGCCTATTATTGACTATTATACTACTGGTTACCGATTATCGAAAATAATAAAGTGGCTTTACCACTAATGAAAATTATTTTGCTTTTTTGGTAGTCCATGTTTTAAGCATTACAATGAAAAACAAGTTTTCTGAAATCTAACATTTGTTATTAACGTAAAAAATTAGAAAATTTAGTAGAGTAGTTTGGAAAATAAAAACTACAAAATAATCGTATGCATATTAAATTTGACTACTTATATATAAAAAAAAAAAAACCTTAAATTTGAAAGCTGTGTAAAGTATAGAATACATTTTACTGGTTTTTGCCTTTTTATTACATTAGTAACATATTGATGGATAATATTATAGTAGAAGATAGAAATTATGCGTGTCAAGAGTGTAACTTGTTAGGAGTGAATGCTGTCGGATAAAAGTTGAGTCAAATCAAAAAATTAAAATTGCGTAAAAGTAAAGTAGCAACGTTTTCTGGTCATATAAAAGAGGTGTGCTACAATCGTATAAGGATTACGCGCTTTATAAGATGGTTTGCTGACTTGGCTACTTATATACAACTAGCGGGCAGTATTCTTTTAATACGAACTCCTCTTGATTTGTTAAAAAATGTGCTTTGAAAATTTTAAAATTGGTAGCAACGTGTTTTGATGATATGTAAGGTGTGCTACATTCGTACAAGGATTACGCGCTATACAAGATGATTTGCTGACTTGGCTATTGTTATAAAACTAGCGGGCAGTATTCTCTTAATACGAACACCAAGTTTCAAAATATGTTGACTGGCCCATTGATTGCAAAATTTTCATTAAACACCGACAAAAAAAGTCGTGTAAAGAATAAGCTCTTAGTAAAATAAAGGCGATTAGCAGAAACGTAAAAAGAAAAAAAAAACTGAACTTAGCTAGCCAACATCATTACGAACGTGACAGTGTTACAACTTGACATAACATAAATTACATTAAAAAATTGTTAGAAAAAAAGAAACAATTTAAATTATTTTTTATTGAAAAACAGTAAAACGTAATTAAAATATTTTGTTTCTAAAAAAATATGCTTGAGAAAAAGAAAATAAAAAAAAAAGTTTTTAAATGTAAGAGTAGTTTTATTTTTAATGCATACGATTATCATAAAAATATATTCTGAGCAATTATTCTCTAATAATTGCAAGTAAAACTACACACGTTTCAACAAATTATAGATTATCGGTTAAAAAAAAAAAAATGGAACATACTACAATGAATAGTATGTGGTGTTTAAAGCATGTACTCTCTTGTAATGTTATTAAATTTTACATCATTTTTAACATTTAACATTTGTTAGATGATTATATTATAATTTATTAACTTCTATACGACTGTAACAGTTTTATTTAGATTTTTATTATTGTGTTAGTAGTACTGACCCACGGTTTCTATAGTGTTTCACATATTTCTTCAATATGTTGAATGAAAACCTTGCTAATTAACCTAGACATATCTATTCGATAAAAGGTAGCCAGTATTGTTCATAAGCAGTCTTAATAAAAAAATAATGTTTCCAAATAATAAATAAATTATTATTGCAATGATCCTCTCATTATTATTGCTTAAATATTATAGTTGTACAATTATTTGTGTCCCAAAGTTATTATCGATCGGAATTTTATGGTTCAATAGTGCATTGCCGTATGAGAGTTCTCTGTCAGGTAGTTGTTTTTACTGACCTACTTAAATAATATTGAATACATTT